GGAAGATACCAGGTTAGAAGGAAGGACCAAAACATTGAAAAACGAAGAACAAGAAAAACTACCTGTAGAAGTTTCAGTCCAAATTCTACCTTCGGTCAAAAACATTGACTTGGTCAAAACCATCAGACCCAGGTGGTTCAACCATTGCCCCATTCAACCTGGTCATTGGGTCGGGGGTTGCACACTTAATGTATGTACAAACTTTCCGAGGCTCTAACTTTGCACTCTGATGTCTGATTGGGGTGATCTTTTTTTATTATTTTGGGTAAAGTTTCGAGATCTATGTGTCCCATGGCACCATAAGCACCTTGCCCCGCTATTTTTGCCCAAAAAACCCCTTTTTTCCTCAAATTGCAATTTTTAATATTTTCTATAAATAAAAAATTAAGAACTGAATTAAAAAACATAAATTAAATATAAAATAATACATATATTATAAGAGGTGTGAGGCGTAGTTCAGAATATATTGATACAATTTTCTATTTATTGATAAAATATGTATTTGCACACACAACAAACATTGATAACACACACAGAATGTTTTAAAACATGGAGGTGTGAGGCGTAGTTCAGAATATAAGAGGCGTAAGCCTCCTCAAGAGGAGGGGGTGAGGAGGAAGGAAAAGGAAGAGCCAAAGGGGCTAGGGGTGTTCTTTTCCCTTATCTTTTCTTTTCTTTCCTTTTCTCTTTTTTGTTTCCTTCTTTTTCTTTTTCTTTCCCTTTCTTTTCTTTTCTTTTCCTTCCCTTTCCTTTTTTTTTCTTTTTTCTTTTTTTCTTCTTTCTTTTTATATGAAGTGTGCATGAGGCATACACCTCAGGGCATTTTGGGAGTGCCTCTGCCTCCCATGCCTTTTAAAACACTAACATATAGCCTTTGGGTCGGTTTTTAAAACATTGATTTGAAGAAATGCAATTGGTAAAAAAAAAATAAAGAGATTAAGAGTTTACATGCTTGAACATGTTCTATTTGTTATGCTTGATTTTATTTTAAATATGTTTTACTTGTTATGTTTATGTATTTTAATTTTAATTAACATTGTGTTTAATATTTTGCTTTGTTTTGATTTTTCGTTGGCTTTTTTTTTGATTTTTTTTTTATTTTTTTTGCGCCTTGCTTTAAGAAAAGAGTGTGCCTCGCACCTTGGGCACAAAATGGCCCTTGCGCTTTTTTTGCTGCTTGTACTTTTAAAATACTGTTTCATCTCTCTTTTGCTTAAAATGGACAGGGTTGTGGAAATAAAGGATTTTAGTCTAGGAGATCTTGGTTGTGGGTGATTTTTATCTTTGTTGTAGCTGTGGGTTTTGTGTCTTTGCTTTTGTTGGAGTTGACATGTATTGGGTGAGAGGTTTTGGTGGAGGCTTTTTTTTCCTTCTCTCGGGTGACTGCTGGTGACCTTCCTTCTATCTTCTTCTTTTTTCTTTTCTCAATAAATTTTATTTTTTACCAAAAAAAGGCTTTTAGGCTGATCAGTCTATTTAATAGACACTACAAACTAATGGCAGAAGTGCTGGCTCAAAGAATGAAGAAGGTTATGGGGTTTATAATCTCAAAAAGCAAAATGCTTTTGACCATATAAATGTTGGATAGCGTGGTAGTGGCAAATGAGTTATATTAACTTGAGGAAGGAGGGGAGGTTGGGAGTCTTGTGTAAGATTTACCTAGAAAAAGACTATGAAAATTGAACTAGAAGTGTTTGGATTTTGTTCTTGAGAAAATGAATTTCGGGAAGAATTGGAGAAATTGGGTAAAGGTGTGTTGATTGTGCCTAAATTCTCAATGTTGATAAATGGGCAGGTTTCAGTTATCTTCAAAAGCTTCTAGGGAATTAGGCAAGTTGACCCTCTTCCCCCCTTTCTCTTCATTTTCATTATGGAGGTGCTTAATCAAATTTCCCTTGAGATGCAAAGGTGGGGTTGGTGTAAGGTTTTGGATTCTGTCCATTTGGTGGGAAGGTGCAGATGTTACGCTTTGCTGATGACACCTTTTTTCTGGATGCCTCCCAATCACAGCTGGCAAATCTTGGGGGAATTCTTATGTGTTCTGAATCACAGAATCAGTTTTAAGGCTGAAGGTTAATTATGGGGAAAGGTTCAATTGTTCCTGTTATACAGTTGGGGGAAGTTGAAAGGCTTTTTGGGGTGCTCTTGTGCAGAGTGGACTACCTCCCAGTTATATACCTTTGGGCTGCCTTTAGGAGCTTATAGTGTTCTGTCTCAGCAATTTGGAGGAAAACTATCTATCCCAAAGTGGCAGGGTGACTAATTAAAAACTCTATTGTTCACCTGCCTTGTGGCATAGGCAGCAATTTGGAGGTAAAAATATCCATCCCTCTGAAGGTAGCTAAAAGAATTGAGAAATTGCAAAGGGATTTCTTGTGGCGCAGGCAGCAAGAGGAGAAAAAAAAATTCATGAGGTGGTTTGGAATCTCAGATTTATCTATTTCTCAAGGAGGGTGGAAGAAGGTCAAAGATGTCAATATAGCCCTGCTCGGGAAATGGTTATGGAAGTTTGGGTGGAAAGAGGGATGTGGTGGTGAAGGTTGCTAGCTTCTAAATTTGGTGTCTCTGGGTAGAGGTTCGACCTCAGAAGACTCCCTATGTTCCTTTGGTTGCTCAGTTGGAAGCAGGTGCTGAAATTTTGTAACTCTTTCTTCAAAGGGATAGCTTATTATTTTGGGGATGGAGGAAGGTTAATGTTTTGGCTGGATAAGTGGTGTAATGATAGGTCTCTAGCTGAATTGTTCCCTAATCTATTTCATTATCCAAGAACAGGGATGTGTATGTGGCAGATTCTTATCAAATTCCAGGTGGCAATGTAGTTTAATCTCCCAGTTTTTGGAGAAATATTCAGGACTTGGAAATGCAGGAGGTGTTAGATCTTTTGCAGCTGCTGAGATCTCAAAAATGTAAGGGCCTAGGTAGGAAGACAAATGGAGATGAAAATGGGTTTACTGTTAGATCGTATGAGAAAAAGCCTAAGAGCCCCAAGGGACTCCTTTTTTCCATATAGATTGATATGGGAGCCAAAGGTTCCTTTTAAGTTGGGCTTCCTAGTTTGGTCTGCAGTGCTCAGCTGCTGCCTGACCAAGGACTGTCTAGCAAGAAGGGGTGTACAGATTCAAGAAAATTCATCTGGGCTATGTGAGTTGGTGCAGTAGAATGTTGACCATCTGTTTGTCCACTGCCAGGTGTCTTCATTTTCTAAGGGCAGCTGGTCTATGTTGGGTGATGCCTAGAGGCCTTGCCTGGCCTCTTCAAGGTTTAAGTGGGTAAGGCAAGTAGATTTGGGAGTTGGCTCCCACTGCTATTATTAGGACTCTATGGTCAGAGATGAAAAAAAAGGGTCTTCTGTAATGGGAGCAAAGCTGAGGATGAGCTGGTCTGTCAGTCTGTAGGTAGAGTGGGGTCTTGGGGTCTCTATTTCCAATGAGTTTCAGGGCCAGTCCATGGGGTGGGTTTTGCAAAATGCAAATCTGTGGAGGGTCTGATGTATTATCTTGCTGGGGTGCTTCTGTCTGCTCCCCCACTATTTCATGTTGAATAAAATTACCTTATCTTTTTTCAAAAAAAAAAAAAGTAAAATAAAGGCCCACAAGCAGGCCCATAACCCATAAAATAAAGAATAGATGAAAGCCCATAAACGTAAGCTAAATAAGAAATAAAAAGATCCAATAAGGGATATGGTTGATCTGTCAACAATTATATAACAATTTTATCTATAAATATTTCTGGACCAGGATGGCTAGGAAATAATCAGCCTTAGTTTGATCGTGTGCATGGAAGACCAAAGAAAACATGGTTTGAAGTGGTAAAAATGATTTAAAGACGTACAATTTGAAAGAAAATTTGTCTTCTGATAAAGCAAAGTGGAGGGACAGGATTCATGTAACCGACCCCAAATAATTGGTATTAAGGTTGACTGGCTGAATTGAGTATATCTTTGATGTCTCACATCAAGGATATTTTGAGATGCATCAAACCAATGTTGTTCAGACTGTTTACCAAAGCAGAAAGGTCACCGAATCATGGCCGAACAGTCTGATCAAGGGATTGAATCTTGGTCAATCCCTTGGGTATAGTTTATTGGTTATTTTTCTGATTTTCATTCTGGCGACTTGGGTTTAATTCATGCAAATCATGTTTTTGTTAAAATATATACATTTGTGGTCTACATAGACATTAAACAAACAATAATAAGCACAAATGGTGTTATAGCTTAATGGTAATATACAATTCTTTGTAAATACGTTATAATTTTGATTCTTTTTCTTAGGGATTGTGAGTTTGACTCTCCTCGTCATTTTACAACATATGATGAAGCGTGACCTGGGCAGTTTGTTGAAAACTGGCTGGATAACCAAAACCTGGATGATTTTCAATGGTTTGTTTGGGTTAATAGTGGGTCAAATGGTTTTGGACATAAAAACTGGATTACCCCCGGGTTCTCACATCTAATAATCAAACCATCTGGTCTGGCGTGAGTCTTACAACATTGCATGAAATAGAACTTTCTTTAATGCTTAATAGGCCAAGATAAAATTCTTTGATGTCACATTTAGTCATAGATCCAAATAACAATGATTAAACATGTAAAAGTTTGTGTGCACAAGAATGTAATGAAAATATAATTGATCAAAATTTTCTGTACCATGCAGTTTGCTTTATTGTAAAACAGCTTTTTTCTTTTTCTGAAGAGGTAAAGTATAAAGTTAGTTATTGAAACAGAGATGCCTCCGTGATATACATGGTATTAGCTTCTGTATAGTGAGACTGTACAAAAAGACAATAGGGGATGATACTTGAAAAAAAAACAATAGGATACATTCTTAATAGTTCTTAGGTGTATGGAACATCACTAAAAGAGGTCTCCTTAAACTCCTTCAGAACCCTTTGAAACATGAATACGAGGAACAGACTACCCTGTTCACCACTACTGTTTGTATGTATTTGTTTATGAACACCCTTTGGTTTATTTTTTTCCATATATTACAAATTCACAGCTGCTGGGATGGAGAACCACGCCAACTGCTGAATGCATCCTTGACAGTCTTAAGGAGGCACCAATAACGGTTGATGTCTCATAGTATAATACCCCAAAATTTCCAAGCTAAAGGATCCTGAAGTAAAAGATGATTTGTGGTAGAACACGCTCCCAGTCTCCTCAATGGACATTCCTTTCTATTCATATTGTCTTATGTGAAGTGTTGTCCCAATTCTTCCATTCAAAGTAGAAAGTAAATTTCATTCCATTCAACGATGTAGATCTTTTTCTCCTTCCACTCTTTCTGCTAAAATTCTTCTTTTTTTTTTTTTTGTTTGCTAACTTGAAGGTAGAGGGTACAAGGACAGTAAGCTGGAAGATTAGTGAGAGTACTCTTCAAGAGAATTTAATTTGCTTCCTTTCAATGGATAATTAGCCTTCCAGGAAGTTGGTTTTCTTTCTATTCTCATTACAGTACAAAAATGTAACATGCACTCAACACATATGTATATATGTATTACTTCGAATAAAATTTGCCAAGAACCATACTCCAGTATTTGCACTTGCAGTTTATTGGAGCTTGGAAGGAGATGAAACAGAACATTTCAGGATGAGTTGGGGGTGGTCTCTATGCAACGAGTAAAAGATCTCCAAATGATATATTGTTAGCATCTTCTATGATAAAAAGATTACAAGCACATGTCAATATCATTTTTATCCAAGTGGTTGGTCGATGGCCATGTACTTCTTTTTCAAATTAATGGAAGATACTCAACTTTTGCTTTACAATTTGTATTAGGATTATACTTTGAAAAGAGACTCTACGGTGCCTAGCAATTTGTTGCATGCACATGATCATCATGTCCGGGACTTTGACTCGACAAGATGAAAACCCCTCGATTCAGGGGGCGTGTCCAGAAGTATATTCATCATGTCATATCAGAAAGGTCCACATCATTGCTATTAGCTGTAATAACAGTAATGTGGCCCAACATGGCCTCACACGATTTCGGTTGTGCTTGGCATGTTATTATCATTTTATTATTTCAATTTGTTATCTATCTTGTTATTTTTTAATTTTTCATTTTTTTTCAACTTTTCTTTTAAGAAAAATTATGCCAGCCTGTGGACTGGGCAGGCTGACCTGGCATGGGTGGGCTCCTCTCTTTTTGCCCTCTCTTTTTCTTGTTTGGTTGAGTGTTTTTAAGCCATTTCAAGCAATACTTATGCTTCAAATTTTGTGAAGACAACTTTTGAAAAAAAATCATGTTTTTTTTTTTCCATAGAAATAATGTTTTCACTTTTTTGCGTATATAGCATTCACAATACCCAGAGTTATTTTATCAAATTCTAAGGCATGGCCATTGTATGAAAAAATGGTGATGATTACCAAACATGACCTTAGTGTCAACCTAACAGTGGGGGTCTCTTGTATTTGTGTGATGTGTCATATCATGATTGGCTTGTAAATATGTTGAGCTACATAGTATATTATAAGTAACAAAAGGCCTTTTGTCCTCTTACAGCCCTATATGTAAAAGGAGATGAATTTCTATACAAATAATGTTTCAACCTCTGGTGTGTTCTGCTGGTTATAGTAGTAGCGGGGTCCTCCCAACTCCAGTCTATGTTTACATGCTCCAAGGTGTATTTCCATGGGGATGAATAATCAACAGATCTTGAGTGGTTGTAGCCCAAGGTAGAGTGATAATGAAAATATCTTTAAGAGAGATTGTTTTCCTTTTGTGTCAGGAGCTTGTAATCAGTGTTTTCAAAAGCATGGAAGGCGTATGCCTAGAGGTGCATCGTGAAAATGATCTTTAGAAACACTATTTTCCTTCTGTAATCAGTGTTTTAAAAGATATGGCCCCCCTAGACCCCTCTAACACCTTTTTAATTTAGCCAATTTAATCTTCTGTGCTAGGGGGTCTTTCTCTGCTCCAGCTCACTCGCCTTGCTTCAACAAGCCCCATCCCTCCCTTATAACTAATGTTGTGCATCTTCATTCTTCTTAATACAAGACATTTTTCAAAAGAAATAAACAAAAGAAAGAGATCCCCTTTCCTTTTCTTCCTCTTCCTCCACTACAACTACAAGATGTTTGGCTGTCCATCAAATTGAATATGATGGTTCCCATTCCATCTCCCAAATCCCTGTTTAATATATTGAAGCTCTTGATTTATCTAATATTAATGAGATATTCATCTGCCAAATGCTGTTTATTGTTAGTAATAGTATTTTCAGTTTAGAGAATTTTCTTTTGTCAAATATAAATTAGACCATAGCTTTCTAGTGTCATTGAAATTCCAGTTCTGGATACTGAAATGATAACAGTTCGGGTTACCATTTCAGTATCCAGAACTGGAATTTCAATGACACTAAAAGGCTATGGTCTAATTTATCCTTCTCTGCTGCTTGTGTCCCACATTTTGACCTCTATCCAAAGTACAATTTTTTTTTTAATTTTTTTCATATAAGCTAGTAAAAGTTCTTTTAATTCTTGATTTTTCTAATGACTTTTAGTTGCAACTTCTAGTTAAAAAAACAGAAAAAAGCAGAATAAACAACCAAGAATTATCTTGTTTCTACAAACTGGCAAGATAATGGATTGCAGTGCACCCCCATAACTTGCTTATATGTCACATTTCCAAAGGGCCAGGACCCACCATTTAATGGTCTCAACCATTAACCGGGCCAAAAGTTAAACTGAGGCGTTATCAGAACCCTGCGCTTTTGCTGCAAGAAAGAGCTCTACACTCTTAGAAAGCTTTTGAAAATAAAGCCAAGAATCAGATGATCTCTCTCTCTCAGGCAGGCCTTGTCGCCTTGATTCGAAAACTATACTACGTTGCAAGTTACGAATCCTGAGATAGCAATTCTGGTACTGTTTCTGGGACCCAAAACAGTGCCTCGTCCAAAATAGGTGGTGGTTGACGCAATTTTCCAATTTATTTAATCATCGGTTGGTTTAATCTTTAATGTGGCAGACTGGCAGTGGCACCACCACCACCACCAGCGTGCCACTGCCCTTTTCTTCCAAGCTCAAATTAAAAGAGTACCTGATCACGACGGTGGCCGGCCGGCCAGTGGGTCACTAATATAACCTTTCATCAACTCAATATTTTTTCGTTATATCTTATATGATTCAAGATGCAAGCTAAGGCTTATTTTATAATGAAAATAACATTAATTACTTACGCCTGGTGATCATGTAATATAAATGAAATTAGCATTAATTATATGATTCAAGATGCAACTCAATACTTAATCCAATCTGGTTTCTTTCTAAATATACTACGTTGACTCTGGCTTTCGCCTGGTGATCATGTAATATCCGATCGAGAAAAGTACCACAGAAACTCATTAATGGAGTTAGAAGCTCGAAATACAAACTTCTTCCTTCTGCTAGCTAACCATAAGCTATATATATATATATATGGTACTGTATATAGTTAGTAGTTACTACTATTATATTATATTATTCTCGTATACACACTGTATGCAATTACAGTAGCTATAGGCTATAGCCTATTGGAGAGGAGAGATCACTGTGGTATTAAGTTTCTCGATGGATGGTACAAGAAGAAAACCAGTAGCTCAGTCATCAGTTTCCTTGGTCGTTTGCAGCTCCAGAAATGGACGGGGAGTGTTCACCTCTTTGGCTGTCCATACCGCCTGAACCGCCACCCCCACCCCCACTAGGAATATTGCCAGAACCACTTCCAAAGCCGTAACCAACGCCACGAGCTCCACTACTACCACCTACACCAAAACCAAAACCATACCCTGAGCCTGAGCCTGACCCTGACCCCGACCCAGTACCGAAGCCAAACCCATATCCTCTCCCATTCCCACTGGGAGACCGACCAGACCCAGAGCCATATCCCCATCCACTTCCAGGGCTTGATCCCCAACCCCAATTGTAATCCCAATTGCTACCATGACCGGACCCACTGTCCCCGCCGGTACTCGGGGTTCCGGTTCTGCCGCTCGGAGTCCACGGCATATCCCACGAGAACGAGAACGCCTTTCTTCCGAAACGGCCGCTGCCGGTATTGTATGCCACAGAAGGGTAGGTTAGCAAATACAGGAAGAGAATTATAAGAGGAAGTGTGAACTGAGTCTTGTTGGGTTGCATCGCTTTTCTTTCTTGCTTGCTTATTGCTTTCCTTACTCTCTCCCTCTCTGGCCTCTGCTAGTAAGAAGAGTAAACGAGATTGTTTGTTTGGTTGTTGGGCGTTTTGAATCAAATGGCTAGTTTCGTTCACACTATTGGCTTGGACTGGACAGCTCCTCTATTTATTAGTGTCAGTTGGGTGATATTGAGCTCCTGTGACACTAGCCATTAGCCATGGGCCACACCCCACAGCCAACACCTCCTTGTCTCCTTGACTGGATGGATAGGAATAGGAGGAATTACCAAAGCAACACACTACCACGCCAGATTCCCACCACCGCCCCTCTGCTTAAAGTAATCCAGGATTTCTACACATTCACTTGTCACAGTATCAACATTATAATATGGAAGGGTTCTTTCTTTTTAACATGAAATTACCCGACTACTCCTCACTCCTCAGCTGCTATTCAAAATTAATCAAACTCTGAAATCTGAATGTGAAACTGAAAGCTAGTCTGTGAATAAGTTATAATTTGACAATATTAACTCTTTAGAACTCCGACCCATTTTTCAGTTCGTATGAGGTTAATGTACTTGGTAAAAATTTAGTAATCCAGAATTACCCATGAAATAATATCATTAACAAAGTATTCAAATAAGGTCGACTGGATTATTGGACTCAGACTGATCTTATCTCAATTGCTTGAATAAGCTCAATAATTAGATGCTAAAAAGCCTGGGCCCCTGGCTATAATTTGGGTTTGAACAGATGAGTGCTGCAGGCTTGGCCAGGCTCCAACTTGGTTGTACTTAGTGGGATCTAAAATGTAGCATGGGCCAAGGAGATGATACAATGGACCCAGAAAATTGGGTCTGGTTGAGTGAATGGTTTAAGTGGGTCGCCTGCATATTCAAAGGAGTACGATGGGAATTCCAGGTTGTAGAGAGAGTCTGGCACTGGCTAGCAATACGAAGGACACTTTGGTAACTCAGAGATATCAGATACTGAAGAAGAAGCTAGCTAAATTCGGTGCAAAAGAAACCAGTTTTTTATCGTTACATTAGATTAGAAATTTAGAATGGTGGTGATGAGTGGGTGGGGTCATTCATGTTTAGAGGTTGTCGCTTTAACCGGCCATGCCATAGAGATTGTTCTTCACTGCAAATCCTATTACACTGCACTAGCCTTTTGGCCTGTGCTATTCCTCGTCTCCCCCATTTAAAGTGGCCCGATAATTTTGATTTCCAAATCTTCTGTTTGGACTGGTCTGACGGATTATAATTCCTGGAGACAGCGACGGTGTTCTGCTTTTGGCACAAGAGGCATGCGCCGTGTTACTGTGGGTTTTCCTTTGTCTACAGAACCAAATACACAGAAAAGAGAAACACAGAATGATGCAACAGTTGGAGTTTTCAGCACCTGAAAACTCTCCCATTAAGGATAGTGAGTGGATTCTCCATTTACCTGACATACACGATAGGGTTTGTTAAAAGTAGATAATGGTTTGTTGGCTGCTCTCTGGTTCATGAGAATCTAGTCTAGTCTAGTCCCATCCCACCCTATACACAGAGACATGGCAATATCCTTCTGGATCTGAGTTTATAAGACCCGTACTGTAATGGTTTGCATATATTGGCTGCAGTACTTCTGTTGCAGCTCAAATGATGAAGGAATGGAATTCTCATGAGGTCCACATAATGATGGATGGGGCCCTATATTATATTCATCCCCCAGTTGTGTCTTCTCTTGTTCATTCATATGAGACATCATCAGCTTAATTTGTTTATACTACACAGAAACAGTAGACTTCCAAGTTGAACAGACAAGCTGTATTTCTATTTAATTGTATATTAATTCATTCATACTAAGAGCAATTCCAATTGAGTCTGCTGAGCTTTAGCTTAAGTCAGCAACCGCTTATGAGGATTTGGGGAGAGGTGGTCTCCATATGCCATGGCATATATAATAAGCAGCTATCAAAATGGACTGACTATATGTATATAGAATTGAAGAATGAGCAGATGCACCGAAAGGAGGAGAATGTCAACCATTCAATCAATTTCCCACCATTTGTTTAAAAAGAAAAAGGAACATTGATTGGTTTTAATGCAAGGTATGATCTAAATTACCAAACCCGCATCATCATTTATTTCCTGTAATCATTTAAAAAATCCCGCCCAGGAAGGAAGTCCACTAATTAGAGAATGCAGTGAACTTGATTAACTCCAGAGTCTTCGACCCAAAGAGAGCTTTAACTTTAGAATTTGTATTTCAACTCTACAAGGATGTAATCATTACTAGACAATAAAATACAGAGCCTGATCCTGATGTGCACAAGACAAGAGGACCCTACGCATAAAGACAAAGTCTGTACCATCAGCAGAATGTTTTGATTTCATACTATACTATAAATTGGTCTTTTACTGGGAGTGTTCAGTATTCAGCAAATAGGATGGGTTCCTCCCTTCCTGGCTCCTGCTCCTCTCTGGGCCATTAAAGAATGGTGTGGACCTGGCTCAAACCCTAAGCAACCAACATGCTCAGGACTTAGCGTAAAGCCCTGCAGGCCAACTTTCTATTATATGAGCCTTACACAAAGTCAAACTGCAAAAGGGTCTGGCTGCCTTGTAGCATCCTAGTTGGCCTCAAATTCTTATGCTGCATTTGGAAACGATGCAAATGGAGTGTAAATCCCGGTTCAGGGTAAATTTGCACTCTGGTTCACTTTTGCCTGTATTTGGCAATATTATATTTTTTAATTGACAAATGACAGATCAATGCATTTTTACATTGATAATAAGATGTAAAAGTACATCAATAAAAAAGAAGAAAATTTGCATTCAAGTGGGCTTTTGATAAAAAAAAAAGCTTATGTTTTATTGAAATTTGTGTTTGCATCCATTACTGCTAAAAGTCTTACAAGAAGATAAATTTATTAATGCAAAACTGTTGGAGGGAGATTCAAAATTTCAAGAATCTCTCTCCTCCCTCTCTTGTTTTTTGTCTTTTTCTCTTTCCACTCTTGAGTGCATGGGAAGACTCCTTGTCTCACATTGCTTGGGAAAGGAGTAGAGATAGAGCATATCTATAGCTTTGCTCTCTCTTTGGATAGGGACCCATAGGAAGAAAGCACTATATATATCCCATGAATGTGAAGGGTTGGGGGTACTTTTCACATCCGCATGTCGAGTCGGGTCGTGGGTGCGAGTGCGTACACGTGATTTATCGAATCGTTTTGATTTATTGGGTTAATTGTTTGACCTTTGAATTTTGAATTCAACTTAAAGCGTTTTCTTCTTTCTCTTTCATGTCTCTTCGAACAGGTTCATGTCCTTTTTCCTTTCTATGTCTCTTCGAACAGGTGCACTGTTCTGAAGAGGCACCTGTCTAAATGGACACCCTGTGTCCATTCGAGTCTAAGAACACTCTATAAAAGGAGTGTTGGTCGATTCAGTCTTTATACACAAATTTATTTGACAGTCTTCTCTTTATTTTTTTTGAATGATTCGCGGAGGTTTAGTAAGCGAGTGCATGCCTACCAGTGGCCTATGGGCTGTTTTATCTTGGCGATCAATTTGCGATCACCCAGCTGCACTGTAGGGGGCAAATGCGGTTTTAAGGAGAGTGACCAAGTGGCACGACTCAACCCTTTTTCTCTCAATTTTGCAGTTCTGCAAAACCATACTCCTACAAGTTCTCGGTTTGGAAAGCGATTACCAATAAGTTCCATTTGCCTTCTTTATTATTTTATAACAATCTTAAAACCGCATTTATGGAACCTATCACTACTAACCCCTTCATGAGGAATCGGATACTATCAACAGTTCCCGATTTTTCTAAAATTGAACCTTTCAATGGAACTAATTACATGCGTTGGAGACAATGCCTGTTGTTTGCCTTAGAGCAGTTAGGGGTAGCCTTTGCTTTGACTGAACTGAACCCATTAAACATGGAGTAACTAGCCCATTCTATTGTTGCAGAACAATGGACTACAGTTGACCACCTCTGTACCAACCATATCCTTAACTGCCTGTCCAATGAACTGTACAATGTTTACTCTTCTTACAATTATGCCTATGAAATCTGTAATGCATTGAACAAAAAGTCTGCTCTGGAAAATGTTGGAAATAAGAAATATGTAATTGCCAACTTCCTGCATTTCGCCATGAAAGAAGACATGAGCGTGTCTGCCCAAATAGATGAGTTCCAGGTTCTTGTGGGGGAACTAGCAAAAGAAGGCATGATACTACTGGATGAATTCATTGTCGGTTCTCTCATAGAGAAATTGTCACATACATAGAATGGTTTCAAGACTATGTATGAAGCATAAGAGGAAGGATACTACTTTGGACCAAGTAGTGGTCTGAATTAAGATAGAAGAAAAGAACAAAAAGAAAGATGAGGATCAGTTTTCCAAATCCAATCTGGTTGAGGAAAAGACTGCAAAATTCAAAAAGAATATGAATGTAAAAAATGATCAGAAATTCAAGAAGCATCAAAAGAAAGAAAATTGCTATGTATGTGGCAAACCCGGACATTACATGAAGGACTATCGATACCGAAAGAATAACTCTAGGAAACCAAAAGTCAATTTGACTGAGGATGTAATCACAACCATGGTAACTGAGGCTAACTTAGTTGATAAGCCGAAGGAGTGGGTACTGGATGCTAGTGCTACTAAGCACATATGTGGGTACCACAACTCCTTCTATGAGTATACAACTCAGTTTGAGGGAGAGCAAGCCTTCATGGGAAACTCACAAACTTCGAAGGTCATCGACAAAGGAAAGGTGCTTCTGAAACTGACTTTAGGAAAAATTCTAATGCTGATTGTGTTGCATGTGCTAGAGATCCGACGAAACTTGGTATCGGGAGCACTCCTCAACAAAGTAGGACTAAAGCTCACATTTGAAGCAAACAATGTTGTGTTAACTAAAAATAATGTTTTTATTGGAAAATGATACAATGCTGAAGGACTATTTGTACTGAATATTTCTGATATTGTTATGAATAAAACTGCTTCTTCTGCTTATATTGTTGAATATTTTGATATTTGGCATGCTAGACTAGGATATCGTAGTGCCCCTTATTTAAAACGATTATGTAAATTAGGGATTTTGAATGTTCCTATTAATTTTACAAATGAAAAATGC